GCCTGTTCGCTAGCTATAAAGCTGGACAGACACGGCTCCACAAAAATCCTCAACCTGGGCCTCCACCTCTGAGCGGTGACGATCGTAAATTAGCGAAGTCAGGAAGAAGTAGCAGGCCACATCCAGGAAACTGGCGGAGCTCGAGCGTGATCATAACGACATCGTTCGGCATCTCCACGAGTACGGCTACAGGAAAATTCTTCCTCGCTCATTCCACCCAAACTACTCGACGACCTCAGCTTGTCTCAATTATTCATTCTTTTCTCCTCACCAGGGTGAAAATCGTGTCGAGGACGTGGTCACCTCAGTACGACCCCCCTCAGATCGGGGTCTTGATACGACCCCTCTAACTTTGATTTGATGTGAATAAGCGAGTTCCATTAATGTACAGCAAAGCATTCAGTTGCAGCGCGGTTTATCCGTGGGTCAGATTTGCCGAAACCCCGCTCGAAACCGTCGAAATCTACACTCTCGATGAAAAGGTTCCATTCCCCATTTCACAACCTTTGGAGCAGGTGTAGGGTTTTCGTCGTGGCTTTCAAAGAGGTAAAATCCCTCCTGCGCTGCTCAAACTAGAATGAAATAGAAAACGGTTCTGCGTTCTGCTTCCGGGACTCGAAAGGGATGCTCTATCGCCACCGCCCTCGCAAAGCTACACAGTCACTGCTACCACCTACAGCACGCGACTTATGAATCCAGCTCACGTGGTCAGAGAAAAACGGGCCAGGGCCTCTGCTCCATGACAAAGCTCGTCCTCGTGTTGCGAAGAACCCGCTGTCCAAGTTGCTGGAGCTTGGCTGAAATACAGTCTCCTATTCTCCCTTCTCTTCCGGTCTCTCTCCTCCCACTTCAGCAAGCATCTAGTGCAGCTCCTTGCGCAAAAGAAGTTCCTTGACTATGAACTCAAAGTGACTACTTCATCCATTGAAAAGAGTTTGAATAAAATTTTGAATGAATAAAAAATGTACCCGAGTGTCTCATTACTTTTGTACCAACCTAATACAAAGTTGAGCATGGAGAGGGGTTGGCCGTACCCAAAAAGCTTTCGGAGGGGGTTCATTTATTGTGCCCGCAAGTCAGCATTCCTTGAAATAGTGCCCACCTTTGCTTTGTATTCAACATCAGTGCTGCTGCTCACTGCATGTAGCGTAGGTCCGAACATCGGTAGCATCAGAAAGGCACCGAGTGGGAAGAAAAGTCGATAAGACGTTTTCAGCTGAAACTGCCTATCATCAAACCATGTCAAAACAATATTTAATATATTGAAACATGTAGGGAAGATCGCACCATATCCAAAGTGTATGGCATACTGTGGCCAGCCATTTCTTCTTCAAGATACGTGTACAGCTTTTCAAGAAGCGATTCCCAATGTCGTGCAATGATGACTGACCAAAGTTGCTCTTTTTCTAGTTGTCCCGTAGTTCACTAAAAATCAGAGTGATGGTATAGTATTTAAGTAGTTCCATGTGTAATGCTAAAATGCTCCATAAAATAACGATGACAAAGGGGCAGTACCGATGCTTGTATTGTCATGGCGCCCCATGTGATTCAGTGTATCATCACTTGTGCACCAAGCTGATAAAATACGTCGCCAATTTCACTTGATACGCCCTCATTTTTTTCAACCAAATATGATTTTCGGTCGATGCATTCACAAGGGTGGCCCAACTTTCATGGCATACTGTTAACCTTAATCCTAGGCCGTTCCCGGTTCTGTTGAAGGTAGTGCATTCGTTTCAGGCTTCTGCGGTCATGTTCGAGAAGGTGGAGGGGTTGTTGGAGGACATCTGTGAGTTTCATCAGAACAACAAGCAAAAAAATGGACACCAATAGCGGGAACTTCTGCGTTAGATGTATCAATGAACCTTTCTCTCATACATTTGCTAACTATATATAAAGATGAACGCTTTTCTCATGTACATACTGTAAACAAAGGTGAAATTCACACGACAAAACGAAACCGTTATCTATTCAGACAATTGAAATTTTGACAGTTCTTTGCTCCGTATTGTAAAGGAAGCGCACACTCCTTATCCGACTTCAATGACCATTGGACTGCAGCAAAACTGCCGCAACGGCAAATGTCATGTACCAACGAAAGAGGGTAGACGCTTGCCAGAAATGCAGCGAAAGGGGTAGATTTAGGGGATTATGGCATATGGGGTGTGATTTTGGACTCAGCATGTCCCATTCACTATTCGCGTTTGCCTGTCTGTAGCGTTCTTCCGATAACTCTCTCTAGAGAACCATGAGATCGAAAGCACTGTTCCCTCAAAGGCAGCCAGCAAAGGAGTCAAGGAAGCGTTTACGATAAAAGAGGGAGCGCATAGGAAACGTCTATGCGCCACACTCTAACAGTAGCTTGGCTACCCCCAAGGCCGCACGGAACGCTCATATCTACGACGATATGAGCGTTCCGTGCCGAAAGCGTCTACAGAATGGAGACCCGTTTTGCGGTTTCTTGACGCTCTTCTTAGTCAATTAGTCCTGTTCCACTGGCGTACCTCTGATGGTGACACTTTCTCCACGTCGACGGGACGATCAGCAACAAAAAGGACAACATTACGAGCCCCAATAGCATTTTGTTTGACAAACTGTTGAGGTCGTCTATCTGTTTTATGAGCAGGAGTGGGATAATGTACTTCTACAAGAGAACACACTGCACTTGTCTGTATCAAACATTTGTCACTCTATCCAGACGCTGTTCCTACCAGCTACCACCGAATTACCTTAAAGAAGCTTCATGAGCAACCATGATAATTTCAAAGGA